ACCATGGAATCTAGAATAGTTACATTTAGAAACAGTCTGTTGATTTTGTTTGGATTTCGATGAATTATGATTCTTAATGAGAATAGGAAACCAGTAATTCATTATTTCAATGATATTTTCTAGATCTGTGATCTGTACAAATCTATAAAGTGGTTAGTAAATAGATTTACTACGAAATTGGTTGTTCTTTTCAATTGGTAAATGATTACCAGTTAGTGATTGGCAGTTGGACGTAAAGCAGTTCAAGAATCGATATCTTATCAATGTTCATTATTTTCAATGCATATTGCAAGCCACCGGAATTTCTCGTATTATACCATTTCATTTTACCTTTTATATAAGCGCCTTAATCGATTATGCGATTAATAGACATAGTTGATGTGTAAAAACTTGTTGAAATAATCGCATTTTACGAAACCAATATTTCAAACATTCAAGCTGGCTGCCGATCGGTATATGTATGCCAATTCATGATAAATAATGGAAATAGGTACTATGCTGATACATATATAATAATAATAAGCCAGTTTGATACAGTTAGCATCGAATGGTTCTCTTCAAACAAACATATTAGCACACTCGATAGGCTTTTGCCAACCTGCGTCACTTGTGGCGTAAGCGAGATATCCGTTTGCTGACTAAAGGACGAGTGTACTGCACAGCAGTTCTCTCCATCTTACTTTATGGCTGTGAAACATGTCCAGTGAGAGTAGAAGAGATATTCGTAGGTTACTGGTTTTCGATCATGGGTGTCTTCGAAGCATTGCTCGTATATCCTGGGACACCCGAGTGAGCAACGCTGTTATTAGGAATCGGGTGATAGGCAACGATGGCAGATAAATAGATGAAATAATGAAACTACATCAGTTGAGGTGGTTGGGACATGTCTTGCGTATGCCTAACCACCGAATGCCTCGAAGAGCTTTGTTTTGTAGTGTAGGAATAGTTTGGAAGAAAGTTAGGGGCGGCCAAATCAAAACATAGCAGAAATGCATGAAGTCATTGACGAGTGGAATTAGCCATGTTGGTAATTGTCGACTACCTGGTTGGGGTCCGCGATATGATAATAATCGATGGTTGGAGACCTTGAATGACATGGCTCAAAATCGTTCGCAATGGCGCCGGTGCATTTATGCTTTGTGTTCTCTCAAATCCTAATCTTCTGGATTCTTCAACCCCTCTAGTTTTGACTTTACAAACTTTTCTCATTTAATCATACTTCTTGAATAATATCTTCTAATCCTAACCTCTCCGATTACTTCTAATACCTTTACTACCTCTTCTACTGTTGGATTTGAATTGACAATTATATTTCTGTGCTGATGTGGTATGGCAACATGAACTGATGTACGTACGTACGTACGAAGTTCTACGTTGCATCTGACTGACTGACTGATATTAGCACACAGAGACGCAATTGTCAATTCAAATCCCATAGTTGTAGATGTAGTAGAAGTATTAGCAGTAATTAAGAAGATTACTGTTAGAAGATATCATTCAAGAAGTATAAGCCAGTGAAATAATTTTAAAAGGAGAAAGATAAAGGTGATGAGAAATTCAGAAGATTAGAATTTGAGGGGATACAAAGAGTGGATGCACCTAAACCATTGCAAACGATTTTGAGACTTGTCGTTGAAGGTCTCTAACGATCGGTTACTATTGTCTCATCGACCCACACCAAGTAGTCTAAACTTACCAACACGGATCGGTCCATTGGCATGTAACGTCATGGATTTCTGCAATGTTTTGGTTTGGCCGCCCCTAACTTCTAACCTAATCCTACATCACAAAACATCACTTGTCAAGGCGGTCGATGGTTGGGCATACGTAATACATGTCCCAACCACCTCAACTGAAGAAGTTTCAATACTTCATCTATTGACTTGCCATCCCTACCTAGCATCTGTTTATCAACAACAGCACTGCTTACTCGAATGTCCCAGGATACACGAGCAATGCTTCGGAGACGCTTATGACCAAAGACAAGCAACCTGCGAATATCCTCTCCTCTCACCGGCCATGTTTCGCATCCGTATAGTAGGATGGAGCGAACTACTGCACAGTAGACTCGTCATTTAGTCAACAAACAGATATCTTGCCTACGCCATAAGTGACGCAGGTTGGCAAAAGCCAATCGAGCCTTCTGTATCCGTGCTGAGATTTCGCCAGTCACCAGACCATCGGCACTGATGAGACTCCCGAGGTAAGTGAAGCGGTCAACACGCCCAACTATTTCACTCCCTATCACTAGCTCAGGTACCGATGAAACCCAATCTTGAAGTAAAATATGCATCACGAGGGGGAAAACCGCATCCCGAACGTGCTCGCATTGTTCCTGATGGTAGTCAGAAGACTCTGCATTTTGTCAGTGTCTTCACCAAGTAGAACTATGTCATCGATATACTCTAAGTACGCAAGCGTGTCTTCTGGTAGAAGATCCTCCCCTGAAAAGTCTGATGAAGATAAAGTTAACTCTGAAAGCATGTCTACGACAAAGTTAGACCGAAACAGGGAGTGGACAGCCCTGACGGACACCACTTGAAGTGACGGTTTGCCGTATACTCTGACTCGACCAGTTGCGTTCGAGTAAAGAGCTCGTGTTGAGAATGAATAATAAGACCATCGCTTTAAGATATAGCTGGATTCCTAATACCGGTTTCCTTGATTAAGAGGAACAGTTGTCTGCTGTTACCTATCGCCACTGCCTTTTCCATCGCTTTTGCTTTCGCCACCCACCACTGTTCGCGATCATTGCATAGACTTTCTATCAGCCTATGCTTAAGCTAACTTCGCTCTTCGTCATGTTCAGAGACAGGTGGGATGAGTTTTCAAGCGTCTATCAGTTCGTTGGATGCTACTGAGATCCACGGCTTATCACTAACCTTATAGTTTACCTTACTAGCAGATATCACTGCTGTTTCCACAGCCTTTTGGATATCATTCTAACCTGCCTCCGGATGGGAATCGCTTACATGGTTGCTTAACTCTCTTTCTAGTTGCCCCTGAAATATATTCTTAGCTTTATTACCAATAATTAAAACCCTAAGAGACTTCCTTACGGTGTCTTTCCAACGTCCAGTAAGCCTCAAGCAAATACGAGCTCGCACTAGGGCATGATCTAAATCTAAACATGTGCCCCAGAACGAGCGACAGTCCTCTATCGAACTTTCGGGGTCGCCAGGTTACAAGATGTTTTTCCTTATGCCCAAATTTAGTGTTTGCTAGAAATAGTTCGTTATCTGTGCACAATTGCAACAGACGGTCACCATTATCTGTTCTCTGAGCCGCGACACCATAACATCCACCAAAGTATCTTTCATTTTCACTTAGTCTACCTACTTGAGCATTGAAGTCACCAGTCATTATTACTACATAAGAGCGCTTAACTTTTTGAAGAAGTTTAGAGAGGTTTCTGTAAAACTCATCTTTTACCTCATTTGAATTGCAGTTAGTGGGAGCGTAAGGAGATATGACGAAGAGGCAACGGCCAGTTTCTCTATCTTTACGAGTCTGCACTGTCGCGTTTAGTCGGACAACGCACAAGCGACTACCTACTGGGATCCACTCTAACGGAGCTAACTCTGCCCTAGGACTCAATGCTACACCTACAACCAGCAACGTAGAACCTCGTATGTATATACATCGATCCAAGTTGCAATACACGTACTGCCAGCTGTCGGGCTTCCAGATATACGAAGTGTAAATATGGACGGGTTTTTATTTTGAAATGGTGAGGTTAAATGACACTACTCGGATCCTGTATGTATGTTTCGGAGACAGCATACATCGATTGCACGAGATTCCAGAGTTCTAGTTAATGAAACCTATTGTCCTATTTGGAACAAGGTTCGAAAATCAAAAGCTCCATGTAATTTGTAGGGTGGTTTCAAGAGAGTAGGAATAACTTTTCGTGTACTCGAACCGTTTTTATCAGTGGCGTCAGGTGATAAGGAATGTGAGAAGGTTTGGTCATGCAGGTAAGAGGGTTATTGAAAAGTAGAGGGGGGATTTGATTCTGACTAGTTTAGTATCGTGTGGTTTTACGGGTATGAGGGTAGTTGTCACTTCCCTGCTGCCCAAATCATGAAAGGGTATTTCATAAGGAACCTAAAAAAGAAGTTGGACTAGTGTTGATCTCAGATACCTGGGAGCATTACCGCAGAGTCCAAAAGGACAACTGCTTGGGGTCGGTCACGAGCGGCCTTGAAGTATTAGCTCCGCCGGAGACGGAAATCCGTGAGGTAAGGTGAGGTGTGACATTCTTAGGGTCCACCTTTTCTAACCCCTCCCTTCCTTGTGAGAAGACAGCATCGCTATAGAAGGGATACACCTTACTGATGTCACACCCCTCTGCAGTCAGCAGTACGACTTCGCCTTCAGACCTTGAGTTGTTGCTCCTAGTCTTACTGTTCTCCAATCGACGTGCCTGGCATATTAAGACCTAAAGCAATATATGTCCCAGCCAATATAGCTCAGTTGGGTCATCACAATAGGTAAACTCGACCACCACGACACGGTCCAGCAATCCTACTGTACGATAGATAACCCATCAAGCAGTAGACTGACTAAATTGATTCACACCTACCCCACATACGTATAACTAACTCCTCCCTCACTGTTTTCATTTAAAATTGCAATAGGAATGAAATCAAAATATGGCATATATGAAGATCAAAACAACAAAAACCCATCAATACAACACATGTTACACAATAAACTAAACATGTTTACAAAACAAATAAAAAACAAACAAAAAAAGCGAACGAACAAACAAATCAAAACAATTAAAACAAATCAGTTTAAACAAAAAAAACATGGGTGCAACAATTCACTAACTATTGAATATTGAACAGAATGTGTGTGGAATAGAAAATGAAAACTAAACAAAACAATTATCAATCACATCAGTATACAAAGGTAAATAATCATGAAATTATTTTCTTTACTTTGTACACATCATTTACGAGAATTTGTTTTAGTTTTCATCAACAGAATTTTTTTTAAAGTAAATTACAATTGGATGTTTCATATTCAATGACTTCTTTTGGTGTTGCACTATTTTCAATTTCAATCAATTCAGAAATGATCTAATTGAAATGTGAATAGATTTAAACAAAACAAAAAAACTAATTTCATAAGAAACAGAATTGGAATTTGAATGCAACGTCAACAAATGCAATCAAATGGTTACAGGTGACCGGTAACATGTTTATATACCACTTAATGCGTCAGAGTACTATGTGCAACAGTCAGTCAGTCAACTAGTTGCAACGTATAACTTCGTACGTATGTACATAAGTTCATGTTGGCATACCACATTAGCACAGAGACGACAAATGTCAAATCAAATCCCATAGTGATAAAGATAGTAGAAGTATTAATGCTGATGAAGAAGACTACAGTTTGAAGATATTATTCAAGAAGTATGATTGAGTGACATAAGGTGAGAAAGACAAAGGTAGAGGTGTTGACGATTCTAGAAGATTAGGAATTGAGAGAGCACAACGAATGGATGCACCTGCGCCATTGCAAACGATTTTGAGACATGTCGTTCAACATCTCTAACCATTGGTGACTTTCGTCTCGCGGACCCCAACCAGGTAGTCTACATCTACTAACATGACTCAGTCCACTTGTGAGTGACTTCATGGATTTCTGCCATGTTTTGGTCTGGCCGCCCCTAGCTTTCTTCCAACCTACTCCTACACCAAAAAAACATAGCTCGTCGAGGCAGTCGGTGGTTAGCCATACGTAACACATGTCCCAACCACCTCAACTGATGAAGTTTCACCACTTCATCTATTGATCTGCCCATGTGCAACACAGGTTTCGAATCAGGATTTTACAACCCAATCAAATGAATCCCACGTATCCACTCATCCAGTTTAAGTAAGCCTTGGTCGGATATCTGCTTTTCGTTCACTCAATTTCGTAAACAACACTCATGTCACGAGAAGGCAGTTGATATGTGGTAGTTAAAGGGAAGTATGATTGCACATGAAGTGTGGACAAATAAGCCACTTAACCTACTGTCTATAAAATCTGCGATCTTTTTGCTGATTGATTTTTACTCCGGACTTACTGAATGTAACTGCATGTAGTAGTTCTATGGAATAAAATATTGTATATTGCTTACCCTAGTTCTCTATTTTGATTGTGAAACATGTATCTGGTTTGACGTGATCTAGTCTCTGTAAAATGTATCGTTAGAATATCCGATTCAATGGTAATATAAACTCAGTCACCATTTAGTCACACCACGTAACACAGTGAATAGCATTTCCCTGTCAGTGAATATATACGCATGACCATATGAGAGTATTCGGGAAGGAACAGCGGACTCTCCTCACTATCAGCCGTACCATGAGACCTGGTTTGAGCAAGGTCACACCTACAGAAAAACTTCAACCATTTAGCTTCAAACAGAGTCCATTAAAACTTTCGATAACTTAAACACTAGTGGTTACGTGTAGTTTATATCAACATTACACTTCAGTTTTGAAATAAACAATTTGTCTGGTTAATTTTAAATATTCTTTAAATTTCTTTGGAAAAACTTATTTTGTCAAAATGTATACAGACATATAAAAATTAACAATGCAGTGTGAAGTGTTGATTTTTGCAAAACTCAATAAGAATAACTTACAGCTTCTGTTAAAGGAAAATGATCACATTTTAGTTTAGAAAAAATTAATTTTCCATTGACGGTAATTTCAAACGATCCTGGAGAATAATAATAAGTGACAATGAGGGAAAAAAAAGTCAAGTTATTTAATAATTCAAAGCTGTGATTTAAATCACACAGATATGAGGTTAGCAGGTATCTTTTTAAAATTAGATATGCTCTGTGAATAATTGAATAATCATCCGCCAGAGTTAAAATCCTATGAGTTTATTACTTCAGGGATATTCCTTTCTGTTAACAGGATCTACACTGGATTATACGCATGTCCTACAACGAACTATGTTGAGGTACGCTGATTGGTCAGGAGTGTGCCAATCGGCGAGTGCTAGTGTATAGCAACTGGAGAAGATCCGAGAATGTTCTTGTGTAAAAATTATACATATACTAACGTTTCTAATCACTATGATTCTTTCACATTTAATTTCGGGTTTGATCAAATCTACTAAACCACCTGTTCAAGCCGTATACTGATTTCGGGGACTAACTTGTTGAACGTTGTACAGTATTGAAAGAATACTAAGTAATCAGTTAACTCGGTCATATGACGAGATCATTAACAATTTGTAACTTAATGACTATATTCAGGCAACCCGCATAGAATGCACATATGCCAAAGAGAGTGATAAATGACAGTCCTAAACATCAATGAGAATAAACAGAATGCCCTTATGTACCGAAAATTATGTGTGTGACCAATAAATAGTAGCAGTAATCTAAGAGTTACATCATTTATTTCATAAACATGAAATTCAATGCACAAACTTTATTTCACGTTGTCAGTCAGTAATGAAAAAGATTAAGGATCGAAGATTTGATTCGAGAAGTATATCATACACAAAGTGAAATAAATTTAAAAAAGAGAGAAATGGTCATGAGGAATTCAGAAGATTAGGATTTGAGAGAACACAAAGAGCCATACGGTTTAAAGTTTCTAACCGTTGATTACGATTTTCACGCGGACGCCGACCAAGTACTCTACACATAATCACATAACTCAGTCCAATTTTCAATGACTTCATGGACTGGTTCCGTGTTTTAGTTTGGCCACTACTTACTTTCTTCCAGCCTACTCCTACATCATACAACGTCGCTGATCGAAGCAGTCGGTGATTGGGAGAGGTTAGGATTAGAAGATAGTATTCAAGAAGTATGATTTAATGAGAAAAGTTTAGAAAGTCAAAACTAGAGTTGTTGAAGAACCCAGAAGATTAGGATTTGAGAGAACATAACGAATAAATGCACTGGCGCCATTGCAAATGGTTTTGAGCCATGTCATTCAAGATCTCTAACCATTGATTATTATCATCTCTCGGACCCCAACCAGGTAGTCGACAATTACCGACATGGCCAAGTTCACTCGTCAATGACTTCATGGATTTCTGCCATGTTTTGGTTTGGCCGCGCCTAACTTTCTTCCAACCTATTCCTACACTACAAAATTTGTGTTGTACATAATACCTATACGATCTTTGAGTAGAGAAAAGGTATATATATGGTCGGGTATACATAGGAAAGTGAGTTGTTAAGTTACAAATATTCAAATAATTAGAAGTCCCACTTAAGAAAAAATGTATTTAAAAAAACATTAAACTAGTAAACTTACTAGATCGACCTGCATGAATATTTACAGAAGCTGATGGACATCTCTGCTTGATTATGGCTGCGAGATGTTGAGCTCGAGGAAAATATCCTCATCCTCCACTATAAACATTAAAAAAATATGCAGTTTGTTTTTTTTTGAAAATTTACTCTATTACTCAAAAATATAGTTCAGAATGATCAGTTCTGCTTGTCAGTAACTCTATCTTGATAATAGAAGTCAGTCAGTCAGTTGCAATGTAGAACTTCGTACGTATGTACATAAGTTCATGTTGCCATACCACATTAGCACAGAGACGCAAATGTCAAATGAAGTTTCACCACTTCATCTATTGATCTGCCATCCTTACCTAGTATTCGTTTCCTAACGACAGCATTGCTTACTCGGTTGTCCCACGATATACGAGCAATGCTTCTAAGACATCTATGATCGAATACTAGTAACCTACGAACATCTAATCTTAACGGTCATGTTTCCCATCCGTACAGTAGGACAGAGCGAACTGCTGCGCAGTACACTCGTCCTTTGGTTATCGAACAGACATCTCGCCTACGCCATAAGTGACGCAGGTTGGCAAAAGCAAATCGAGCTTTCTGTATCTGCGCTGAGATTTCGTCAGTCACCAGGCCATCAGCGCTGATGAGATATTTTATTCGACAAATAATTTTTCTTCAGAAGGAAAATGCTTTCAATTTAACACACAATTTATCATACAGCTAAGGAATGGTAACAAACGAGAAATGCTTTAAACGGTTATCGAAAGGATAATAGTACAATTAAAATATCTACAAACTCAATCATCATTACGTTAAAGCTACATTACATTTTCACAATGTACTACTACCTACCATCCAGTGAGATATATTTGTTATTTTTGATTGCTTTTATTATTAACATTTTTGAGGTTTGACAGCTGTTTATCGAAAATAGTACAGTGAAGATCTATAGTACGGTGAGTGATAGGATTGAAACTTTAGTCAAATCACGTCATAGTCAAGTCACGTCATACACTTGACCACACCATGTCAAAATAAAGAAGCAGCTCGATTTACTCTTCGTGTATCCGGAAGCCCTGATGCTGCTTCCCGGGGTCTTGCTGGCGTAGGCATAGCATTGAGTCGTAGGGCAGAATTATCTCTCCTTGACTGGATCCCTGTAGATAGTCGATTGTGCGCTGTCCGACTAAACGGGACAGTAAGGACTCGGAAAGATAGGGACAATCGCCGTTGCCTCTTCGTCGTATCTGCCTATGCCCCCACTGAATGCAGTTCAGACGAGGTTAAGGATGAGTTTTACAGAAAGCTTTCGGACCTCCTCCAAAAAGCTAGGCGCTCTGATATAGTAATAATGGCTGGTGACTTTAATGCTCAAGTAGGTAGACTAAGTGAGCAGGAGAGACACCTAGGTGGATGTTATGGTGTCCCGGCTCAGAGAACAGACAATGGTGACCGTCTGTTGCAAATATGCTCAGACAACCGCCTATTCTTAGCAAACACTAACTTTAGGCATAAGGAAAAGCATCTGTTGACCTGGCGACCTCCAAAGTCGTCTCAACGTTGGACTCAACTAGATCACATTGCCATCAGCCACCGATGGAGGGGTTCGATAGAGGACTGTCGCTCGTTCTGGAGCACATGTCTAGATTCAGATCATGCCCTAGTGCGAGCGCGTATTTGTTTGAAGCTTACTGGGCGTAGGAAAGACACCGTAAGAAAGCCTCTTAGGGTTTTACTTAGTGATAATAAGACGAAGAAAATATTTCAGGAGCAACTAGAAAGAGAGTTAAGCAAAGATGTAAGTGATTCCCATCGAGAAGCAGGTTGGTATGATATCAAAAAGGCTGTGGAAACAGCAGAGATATCTGCTAGCAAGGTTGACCATAAGGCTAGAATGAAACCGTGGATCTCAGTAGCATCCACCGATCTGATGGATGCCCGAAAACTCATCCCACCTGGCTCTGAACATGATGAAGAACGAAGTCAACTTAGGCGCAGACTTATAAAAAGCCTACGTAACGATCGCGAACAGTGGTGGGTGGCGAAAGCAAAAGCGATGGAAAAGGCAGCGGCGATAGGCAACAGTAGACAACTTTTCCGACTTATCAAGGAAACTGGTATTAGGAATCCTAGTGTAAGCGAGACTGTCTCAGAAAATGACGGGACTATTATTTATTCTCAATCCAGGAGACTGGATCGATGGGCAGAACACTTTAGGGATCAGTTCAACTGGCCTCGAGCCACTCTTCGGTTACCCACGATCTCCAGTCATCCTGAATGGCAAATCGACCTAAGTCCCCCTAGTCTTAATGAAGTTGAAAAAGCTTTAGGAAATCTGAAGCGAGGACGAGCTGCAGGTCCTGATAGACTGACCCCTGAGATATTTAAGGATGGTGGTCCAGTTTTAGCAGCTATGTTGACTGAGATCTTAGGTAGAATCTGGGAACTGGACGTAATCCCATCCGACTGGTCTCAATCACTGATTGTCCCAATCTACAAGAAAGGACAGAAGTCTTTTTGTGACAATCACAGGGGAATAAGTCTAACTAATATAGTATCTAAAATATTGGCCTCAATAATACTTCGACGCTTAACGAAAGCTCGTGAAGAGCAGACTCGAGAAAACCAGGCTGGTTTTCGACCTAGACGTGGCTGTATAGACCACATTTTCACACTACGACAGGTCTTGGAACACAGACACACATTTAGGCGTCCTACAATAGTTGTTTTCCTGGACCTTAAGGCGGCATTTGACTCAGTGGATCGTGAGGTTCTGTGGCAGTGTCTGTCATTGAAAGGTGTACCAAAGAAGTACATTAACCTCATACAAGCTCTCTACTCAAACACCACTGGTCGAGTGAGAGCTTATGGCGAACTGTCAACGGAATTCTCTACATCAAGTGGTGTCCGTCAGGGATGTCCACTTTCTCCATTCTTGTTTAATTTTATCATAGACATGCTCCTAGACATAACCTTATCCTCGTCTGAATTTTCTGGAGTAGACCTTTTACCAGGTGGCTCGCTTATTGACTTAGAATATGCCGATGACATAGTCCTACTTGGTGAAGACGCTGACAAAATGCAGAGTCTTCTGACTACCCTAAGCAACAATGCAAGCATGTTCGGGATGCGGTTTTCCCCCTCGAAATGCAAAATGTTGCTTCAAGATTGGGTTGCAACGGCACCTGAACTAGTGATAGGGAGTGAAGTAGTCGAACGTGTAGACCGCTTCACTTATCTCGGGAGTCTCATCAGTGCCGATGGCCTGTTGACTGACGAAATCTCGGCACGGATACAGAAGGCTCGATTGGCTTTTGCCAACCTGCGTCACTTATGGCGTAGGCGAGATATCCGTCTGCTGACTAAAGGACGAGTGTACTGCGCAGTGGTTCGCTCCGTCTTACTTTATGGCTGTGAAACATGGCCAATGAGAGTAGAAGATACTCGTCGGTTATTGGTTTTCGATCATAGATGTCTTCGAAGCATTGCTCGTATATCGTGGGACAACCGAGTGAGCAACGCTGTTATTAGGAATCGGGTGCTAGGTAAGAATGGCAGACCAATCGATGAAGTGGTGAAACTTCATCAGTTGAGGTGGTTGGGACACGTGTTGCGTATGCCTAACCAGCGACTCCCTCGTCGAGCTTTGTTTTGTAGTGTAGGAATAGGTTGGAAGAAAGCTAGGGGCGGCCAGACCAAAACATGGCAGAAATCCATGAAGTCATTGACTAGTGGACTGAGCCATGTCGGTAATTGTCGACTACCTGGTTGGGGTCCGCGAGATGATAATAATCGATGGCTAGAGGCCTTGAAGGACATGGCTCAAAATCGTTCGCAATGGCGCCAGTGCATTTATTCTTTGTGTTCTCTCAAATCCTAATCTTCTGGGTTCTTCAACACCTCTAGTTTTTACTTTCTAAACTTATCTCATTTAATCATACTTCATGAATAATATCTTCTAATCCTAACCTCTCCGATTACTCCTAATACCTTTACTACCTCTTCTACTATTGGATTTGAATTGACAATTACATCTCTGTGCTGATGTGGTATGGCGACATGAACTGATGTACTTACGTACGAAGTTCTACGTTGCATCTGACTGACTGACTTAGTCAAATCAAAGCCAGTTAGCCTCAAATTAATAACTCCAAAATCAATCTTAAAACTTTGAAAATAAGTTACAACAAATGTATATATAAGTATATATATATATATATATATATATATATATATATATATATATATTAAACATACCAATGTTCAATCTTTACATCCAACTTCTTTGCAGTGCTTTGCATTTCTTTAAAAACGAGAATCTAAGTGTTATTTAGAGTTGATAGATAACCTAAAGAAATTTAAAAAACAACTAGGAGTCAATTTTAAAACTTGCAACAGGTCGAAAGAATCATTTACATGAAAATCGAATCATTTATTGAAAAAAAATTTTAAGAAAGAAGTCTGTGCCTGCAATCACAGAAGGAAAATTGAGAATATGACCTTAATGAGACTGTAATTGAGTCGTACTCAAAATCCAATCATTCTTCAGAGTAATTTCTCGAACTAGAGAAACGTTTATGGTAATATACAGTATTAAACAGTATTCAATTAATTTGAAAGCTTTTTTCAGATGATTTTACGTATTCATCATCAACCAGACCGACTGAGTGTACATAGTCACTTGGCAACTTTATCAGACTGAGAATCCACAATACTTAATCTAGGGGGATCGCCTCAGTAAGGAAGCATTATCCACTTAGCCACGGTGAGACTGATTTGCGATAACGATTGTTTGCGGCTGACCAAAGATTGTTATACATTACGTGGAACTATCTCTTGCGTCTGTTGCATTGAACACTACCTTCAACAGAGGTGCAATATTCCACCACATCAACTATTAGATGACCAATTTAACCAGTGATGTGGATGAAAAATAAAAAATTCGAACAGCTAACCACAAAACGCCGAAAACTATAACATTACAATGGTAACCATGAATATGTACCAAAAGCATAACTCTGACCAATGATAGTTAAAACAAAAACGTTTTAAAAAGATTAGAAAGATTGGCTCAATAGAAATATAGCGAGAAAGAGGTGTATATAAATAAACGGAATACCTCAACTCGTAAAAACTGGGATGACAAGCGTGTTGGAGTGATACCTCACAAACCCCAGCAACGCCAAAAGGGATAAATATGATGTTAAACGTAACTTACGGCACAATAAACGTAACAGAAACTTAATATTTCAATATGAGTAAAAACTTACTTTTCTGTCTTCGAAATTGCGCTCTTCCGACAAATTGCCGTAACGCATACGATATCCAACAATTAATATCTTTTTCACAAGCTGATATAAACCAATTGATTTATTTGCTCTCGATTCTTTTTCTTTCGATACGGTTTCAGGTGTTTGATAGTTTCCAATGAAAGGGTGTCTAGCCACTCGACTGCCTAATTCTTGTAAGTTGGCAGTTGGTTGTGAGTTTGTATGCCCCCTAATTTGAATGAATACGTTTGTTTCAGGGCAATAGGGCTTATGGATACGAGCAGCTATCACATTACCAGGATAGGGGTCCGTTAGCTGCAATGTGGAGAAGCATAAGGAGAAAATTCTAGTGCTAATAAGAAGAAGATTTCAAATCTGAGTAAATAAATAGATAACTTAGTATATTAATTGGTAATGAAGATTGTGCGAGGGGACCGAAATGTAAGCAAGGGAGAGGAAGCAGGGATAATAGGCGAGATAGAATAATCTAGTGATCTGGGTTGGTTTGGCGTGCTTAATACGCTGCACGCCGTAATCAGATCACCTTTGATTCTCCTGTAACTTATGGAGGAATAATCCCAAATGCTTGAATCTATCTTCGCAAGTTTTATTTTTTAACCCTATCACCCAT